GCCACCCTCAGCGGTGGGCTCCCGGCTTCAGGGCTGGCGTGGCCCCAACCTGCCCAGCCTGCCTGCTGGAGGCCTCGTCCTGCTGATGGTTCAGAACTGCTCTCGGCTTCTGAGGCCACTCTTGCTGCACAGAGCGCCTGCTCGGCCTGCACACCTGCCGCCCATTCCCCCAGAATACGGGTCTCCCTCACCCCTCCTCCGCCTGCGCTCTCCCCTGTCTCCTCTCGTTCACCTCCAAGGCGCGGTGAGCAGCCCCCGCGGGTCCCTCTGCACCTGCAGCGGCAGGTCCCACCTCCTCCCTGACCTCCCTCCCCGGCAATCTTTCCAGGTGTGTTTAGCAGTAGCCCTTGGCTTCCACTAAAGCCGCTGTCCCTGACCCGCGATCTCGTGTCTCTGCCAGCACAGGGACGCCGTGGCCACCACTGGTCAGCTGGCACGTGGGCCCCGCCTCAGGCCTGTCCCGGTTCCTGTGGCTCCTTCCCACAGAGTCCTGTCTTCTGGCTGAGGTTCTGGCTCCGCCGTGTTACAGCCAACTCCATTCGTCTAAGCAGCGGCTAAATGCGCAGGCATTTCGGTACAAACGCGAGACTCACGGTGACAGTGGACAGTCATGGCAGGTGTGTGCCTTCACACAGCGGCACCGGCGGAGACCGTCAAAGCAACTAGGAGATGGACAGGGCAACACGAGGCCCCATTGGAAACGCGGCTCAGAGGCCTGCAGGGCATTTAAAAATGGCAGAAAACGGGCCCTCGCTGAGCCGTGGCTTAGCGAGGGAGCAGTGTCCAGTCGGTGGGAAAGGGCGGTGGGCAGCGGTGCCAGGCTTGCTCTTCAAAGGGCGCCTCCGCCTAAGGGGCTCACGGAGAGCCGCCCGCCCCTCCCGGCGGGGCCGGGCAGGAATATTCACGGGAGGGGCTTTGGTCAGGAATCCACAGTGAGGGGAGAGCGCTCGAAATGCCCCAAGGTGTGGGACACGGGACCAGAGGCCAGAGCTGTTGACTCTGCGGCGCGTCTGTGAGGAAGCTCGGGTCCCCCAGGGTTGGCAGTGTCTGGGACCCCCCGGGGTGTGTCCCAGGGGACATCTGGGGACAGGCAGCCGAGAGAGCCGTCCCCATCCACACGCCCAGGTTCCGAGTGCCTGGGTAGCAGCAGTAGGGAGCGGAGGGAAAGGATAGCGCAGGCAGTGTGGCCGGCGGATGCTGTCCCAGCCGGGCAGGGAGGCGCCGGGTGGGTGAGGGAGCTGGGACAGGCGTGGGGGCCGCTGCTGGCAGCTCCCTGGGGACCCCGTCATTCCCGCCAGAGCTGGTTCTGCCGCGACCGCTGACGGCTGCAGCGGGGCACAGGCCAGGCCCCCGGCAGGGAAGAGTTGTTAGATACGGTGGCAGAAACAGCCCCGAGAGAATGACAGCGTGGATGGTCACTGAACAGTTATGTGGGGACCAGATTCCAGCAAAGCACCCGCCTTCAATGCGATTTCCCCTTTGCACTTTGGCTCCTAGAAGGTTCCACTGGTGAGGGTGGCCTCCCAGGGCCGACTCCATCCCGACTCGGTTTCTGACCGCACGCCGGGGCGGCGTGATCGTGCCTCCCTCCACTGGACCCCTGCGAAGGGCGGCCGGGCTCAGGGTGGACCGGACAGTGGACATGGGTGCCGCCCTCTGCGCGCTGGGTCAGCGCAGCCGCAGCTCCTGGCCCCGAGAGGTGGCGACGGGCGGGCGGCCTGCTCTCGGGAAGTGCTGTTCCCAGACTCCTCTCACGCTCTCCCACCTTCTATTCCCATTTTCTTCGACAGTCAGTCCGGTGTCCTGCGGGGGCATCGGCTCTGGGCTGAGTGACACCGCATCACACAGTGGAAGGGAAACCAGGAGGCCCCCTGGGATCCACCTGTGAGGTTTCTCTGTGCCTGGGTCAGGGTGCCCGGCGGCCCGAGGGACGGTCCTCTGAACCCCGTTAGCGAATCAAGCCAGAGAACGTTGCACAAACACCAGGGGAGCAACCCCACCGTGCACCGAAGGCGTTCCTTTAACTCACCACGTACTTCGCCTTCCGGTGTTGACTCTGCCTGCGTCTGTGGGTTGTTACGTTGTGCGTGTGGCTCATCAAAGCCGCAGCTCAGATGTAGAATAAAGTGCGGGCGCCGTGGCCAGTAAGTAGTTAGAACAAATTAATAAGAGCTATTTTATGGCTCTTGCCACAGCACTACATCAGGGCAAAAAAACAAAGGTGTTCTTGAAATTCACTCCTCTCAGCTCCTCGGAGAAAACCCACAGCTCAGTGTCCCGCTGCCCGAGGGGCCTGGGTGGGCGGCGTCACTGGACCCTGTCTGGGCAGGAAGGGGTCCCGTCTGTGTGGACTGTTCTGCCACCCCTGCCCATGCTTCGGTGCAGGTCTGGAGAGTGTGCCCACGCCTCCGGGCCACCATCCTTACCTCCCCAGTCCTCTGCACCAGTAACACGGGGCTTCCTCGGTCTGTCTGCTAAAGGTCAAGTTTGTCACAGCGAAGCCATGACAGTGAGCGGTATCCAGGGCTGTCCCGCACAGGTGGGTACAAAGACTCCTCGAAGCTCCAAAGGGGCGCAGTGTCCTTGGGCTGCCACTGTTGTCCCGTGGCCTGGGCGTGTCTCCACTGCTCGGCGAAGGAGCCGGCCCAGAGCCGGCCATCCTCCAGGGCACACGACTAGCAAAGTGGCAGGACTTGGCCGTGAACGAGGCCCAGTCACAAGCCAGGACCCACTCTCCCCTCCCTGCGCTGAAGCGCCCACCGGGCATCTGCTCAGACACCGCACCCCGGTCCCAGCACCGAGGGACTTCAGTGCCTGAGTCCCCCCACCCCCCTCCTGGAAGGACCCTGGACTGCCTGTCGGTGGGTTGAGGGCTGTCCAACTTCTCCTGGGGGGGGGGTCCCTCAGCCCAGGAAGGACGAGTGGAGGTGGGGAAGGGTGAGCACAGGCGCCGGCAAACGGACTTCGGTCTGATGCTGTCCCTTTGTCTGCATCTCCGCCCAAGGGGGCACTTTGCCGATACCCCTGCCTTGGGCACAGGGAAGGGGAGGGACCGCCCCGGGGCAGAGGACAGGGCTGCGCTTCAGTGCAGCTGACAGGTGCCACACCTGGCAGAGCCGGCATCTGAGCCGTGTCAGGGGCCAGCTGCGCCGCGAGGGGGCCCACCTGTGTCTGCGGCCAGCTGGGACCAGACCCCGAGTGTCCACCTGCAGAAGCAGCCCGCCTGGCCTCACCTCTGTGGGCACCACGGGTCACGTCGGCGGCAGGGATGCCCTGCTCCCGGTGGCGGTGTGCTCCCTTCCTGACAGCGGGTGGGGTCACAAGGGCCCCCCACCGTTGCCCGACCAGCCTCGGCAGCCTCGCCGCACTGCCCACCACGGAAGTGCCCGGGTTCGAGGCCGGGTGGAGAGCTTAGGCTGACTCTTCCTCTGTGGAGGGGGGCCTGTGTCTGTGCCGCCTGCCCGGGGGACGGAGGACCAGCGGCAGCTTCATCCGGGACCCACCGACACTTGCCCCGGCCCCGACCGGGCACAGGGGTGTTTCCTGCGTGTTTTCCTCGCCGGAAGGCGCGACTTGCAACTTCAGAGCACAAACAGCCCATCCGGTCGGTCAGGCGGCTCGTTCTCCTGACCTGCTGCAGACGTCGGGTTCACCTGTGCATCCCCTGCTCCGCCCTTCACCCTGGGTCAGAGCCGGCGGATCCCCGGCTGGGCCCCCGGAGCCCTTCCCGTGTGACGGTCCCATGAGGTCTCAGGGGCCCGTCGCTGTCCTCTCAGCCTCGAAGCAGCCGGGGTGGGCAGCTGCTGGAGAAGCTGCTCAGAGTCAGGCAGTTGGGGTTCGGGCCCCCCACCCCGGCTAAGGGTCAGAGCCTAGAAAGCCCGAGTTTACAGCCCACGCTGTTAACCCCAGCCCCTCGCCCTGAACTGTCGCAGAGCTGGTCAGCGGCCGCCCACGGCTTCACAGGAGCCCGGCTGCTCCAGCAGAGTCGGGGCCTCCCGCTCCCCTCGACTCCGTGGCCGTCTGACCTTCCCCGCGGGCACGGCCCCTCCCTCCACACGCTCTTTGACTCTGGTTCACACACGCAGCAGTGGTAAGGGGCGTGTTCTCTTTCCTCCCTGCAAACCTTCACACCATTGTCATTGGGCGGAAAACAGAAAAGGAGGAGACGCTGTAATCCGACCCACAGGAGCACTGACCTAGAATAATAACTGTGGCAATGAACTGTGTGATTTCAAACGAATTCAGTTTATTCACTACCGGGACCATCTCCCAACTCAAAACCTACTTAAGAAATAGTGAAAAGAGGAAGATGAGTCTCTTAAATGCACCGACGACCCTGAACTTGACCTCGTCACATTCGAAGATCCTGGTTACTGAGAGGCTACGAAGGGTATGGAGGTGAAATTCGGAAATCCCACGCACTTTTCAAGCAATGGAGCCCGTGTCGTGGTCGGTCAATCAGTGTCGCACCGCGGCTGATAGACTGTGTGTGGACGGTCCTCGGACCCAGATTTAGGTGGGCCCTCCACCCGAGTTCGCAGGGCTAGGTGGGCTTCAGGTCTCCTTCAAGTCCAGTATCGTGTGGGTTTCTGACTAGCTACGTTTTATTTACATTCGCATTATCATAGCATACGAGCGAGACTCAGTGTTTCCATAGACAATGCCCAGGAAGTAGCTGAAGTGCCGGTCTCTGCTTGAACTTCTACTGACCTGTAACAAAGTGTCCCAGTGACCTCATGGCCTGTAACAAAGTGTCCCAGTGACCTCACTGACCTATAATAAACATTGCCCCCCGTGACCTAAAGTAGTTTAACAGGTTTTCCAATCTCAGCTCAGCACCGGAAAGACTCCACAGAGAAAAAAAGGTTCATTCCTTTACAAACATGTGCACAAGCATTTGTCCTTAGAGAAATCCAAATTCCCGGCTATCTCAGCAGTCGGTCCACCCACTCAGGATGTCGCCCTCTCCACGGGGCACATGCTCGCCACTCACTAGGCCGTCACCAGCCGCCGGTCACACAGCAGGGGGGCTCACCAGCGTTGGAGGAAGGCCCCGGGAGCTGCGGGCTGGGTGTGTTGGGGACCAGAGGCCCACAGGACCTGGATCCGGGGCCCTGAGGGTGGCCCTGGCTGGGTCCACAGTCCGGGGCTGGGCACTTCACAGACACGTGAGCCTGGGGCGGGCGGGGCTTTGCCCCATGGCTCCCCAGGGGGCCGCTCTCGAGGGCAAAGCCCGCCGGCTGGCTGCTTGCTGAGGCGCAGGGCTGAGACTCACACCTGAACTTGGCCGAGGATCCCCCTGATGGGCACGGGGTCCTTTCACAGGCGCTGGCCTGGGAGCCGGCCGAGTGGACAACCCCGGGGAGGCAGGCGCCTGGCACCCCACTGTCCTTCGGACGCGGCTTCGGCTCCAGGCTGGACGCTGCGCTGAGGCCACAGGGTTCCTCTGCGCTGTCCAGCAGCCAGGTCCTGCCATGGCAGCTGCTGGGCAGAAACAACCCATCGTCGAAACTCATGGGATGAGAGCTGTGCACTATGGCAGAGAGGGACGGGCCACTGTGGGGTCCCCTGAGCCAGGGGCGGTGGCTCGGGGCCATGGTGTCCAAGCCCGACGGACGTTGGCCGTGGGGACCCAGCCTGCTGGGTCTGAAGCCGGAACGCGTTGCTCGGGAGATTATATGCTCGGGACCTGGGCGTGGGCTCCTCCCCAGGGCTCCTTCCGACCTTGCGCTGGAGCTGGTCTGGAGGCAGCAGCTCCTCAGCACGCGGCTACGTAGGAAGATGACAGTTCAGGAGCGGAGAGGCCGGCCCATCCTGGGCCTTTACAGCCGCTTCCCTGGAGCCCGGAGCTGACTCACGGGGCGGGGTCCTCCCCTGCGAGTCCCAGCGCGTCACCCAAGCTAAGTGGCTTTTTCCTTAGTCACCGTGACTCTCCACGTTGGTGAGAGGACAGCAAGAAACGCACTCGGAGCAGCCAATTGAAGGTCAGCATTGGGAGCTGGCGTTTTCAGAGGGGCCGACCTGGTGCCACAGGCAGAGGCGTCCCAGAAGCGACCCCACGGAGCCGCCACTGGCTCTGGCCTCGGCCTGTCCGCCCAGCTGGGCTGACTGCATGGGGAGGCCGGCGGCGAAATTCCTCCCCGCTGTTCGCTTACTGAGAGCGGCCCCCGCCCCGCAAGCCCCCTCCCTTCATCTAACACGTCAAAGGCCACGTTTCGACGCTGCCTCTTGAAAGCTGGCCCTTCACTCAGAAGCTCTGACCTCTCCCCGAGAATCACCAGAGGGTTCGAACATTTGCTGTTATGCTCAACCTGACACCACGCACTGCGTCTCCCCTCCCAGGGCCCCTCGGAGGCCGAGAAGCTGCCTCTGAGACACGCCTGACTCAGGCCAGCTCGTTTTGTCTGCTCCTGTGGGGTGATCTGACCGCAGGGTGGTGGCCAGCTCTGACACCTGTCTCAGGAGCCGATGCACCCGGTGCAGCTCCGCCCTCACGGCACAGGACGTGCCAGCACGGTGTCCGCAGTGCTCTTCGAGACCGATGCTGCTCAGCCGTAGCCGTGGGTCAGCGGAAGCAGATTCCAAGCAGACCCCGCTGGTCCCCTTCTCTGGTCTGGAGAAAGGGGGGAACATTCAGGAGCCTTGACCAGCTCCAACACCAACGCCTCCTGGCCATGTGACCAACCGGGGACATTATATATTCCAAGGGCCACATCAGAATACAGTCAGCCCGAGAAGCCAAGTGTCCTGCCCCTTGAGTTATTCTCAATTTCGGACTGCTCCTCCCATGTGATCAAAGATCGCATCGTGCCTTTTGCTGCCCACCTAATTCCGAGGTGTGTTTGCTTGGAGGCTTCTGCTGCAGCTCCTGACCGTCCTGCTTTAAAGTATTAAGTGGACTCTCATTGCCCCAGACGAGACCCGGCCCACATTGTCCAGCAAGGCCTGTCTGCGTCCTCTCCCCGCTCCAGACCTGGCTCTTCCTCTCTGCCCAGTGCGCCCCTCCCCCACAGGCCTGGACGCAGCTCTCTGAGTGCGTGAGGCCTTTGCTGGGCTCGGCACTGCCCGTGCGCCGTCCGTCTGTCTGTCTGTCCCAGTTCTACTCCGTCCCACTGCCTCTGCCCCACGCGCTGTGCCCTGGCCAAGCAGGCGGGTGCATCTTCCTCACGCTCGTGTCCCAACACCGAGCACGGTGCCCCGCGCCTGCCTGGTGCGCGGTCAGAGCTCCGTGAACATGTTGTTGAAAGTCAGTGGGTAGAAAGTGCCGAATAAAAATGTATGTAGGTTATAGTCGAGAACATGAAGACGCGCAGCCCCGAGACACTGATGTGCCCCAGAGTGAGTTCCAGATCCCGGCCAGGGTGCAGACAAACAACCCGCTAACCGACCTTGCCCGCCTCTCGGGGCCCGTGGTGAGTAGAGAGCAAAGCTACGCAGGAAGCCTTGTGCAGCACCGTCCGTGACTGTCAACCCCTGCCAGGGCCCGGCGGACAAGGCTGAAGGCACCTGGCCGGCCCTCGTGCTGCCCCACGGGCCTCCCCACGAGCACAGAACGGGCGGACCCCAGCGCAGTCCAGACCTGGCACTGGTGAGCGGGGCCCACTGTGAGCTCCGGTGCCTCGCACGTCCTGTTTGACTGAGTGTGGATGAGTGGGCATTTCAGCACACGACTGGGTCAGCCAGCAAACACCGGCCTCGGCTGGTGCTGGATTTAGGGAGGGAGTTACCGGGCCTGTTATCGCGGAATGTGTGGTCCGGGCACCCGGCCACCGCGCAATTGCTGCCGTGAAACTACTAAAAGCTAAGTGTTGGCTTTGTCGATGCTGGAATGGTGGTAATTAGGCAGCCTACCTCCTACCTCCTGAGGCGGGGGTAGCAGCAGTCACGTGACTGCCCGCGGCCTGGAGGCTTTGCAGGTAAAAGGTGGAACAATTTCCCATCTCTGCTGGTCCTACTCCATTACTGCTGCAGTGACACCTCCCAACCACCAGAGGGCGGACTATCAACAGTTGCTGTGGCTTTATCTATAATTAAATACAATAATGGATTTATAATAAATAAGCAGTTCGATATAAGGATTCTGGAGTCACACCGCCAGGACTCTCGGCCAACTTCCACAACCACAAACTGTCACCTTAAACATGTCCCCGAAACGTCTGGGCCTTGGCTTCCTAGTTTTCAAATGAACGTGGGAAGACTCTCAGTCCGTGAGTGAGGTGGCTTCCCGCATTAGATGAGATGACTCCGTGTGTCGAAGACGGCCTGCCACCCACCCACGGAGTGACAGGCACGTAGAGGGAGCAGTCGTTTCCCCCCGGGGAAGGCCGTTCCCGCAGAGCACGGGGCTGTTCCTACGGCGACACCGTCCGGGGTGACCCTGGGCTCCGGGCAGAGGGGACGCGGCGTCCTCTTCGGTGCGAGGTGACGCCGCCTCTGCTGGAGGCCGCGTGCCCTGTCCTTCTGAGGGCCGGGTGGTACTCCTCCTGCCGTTACAGGTCTGGCGGGCCTGTTTCCGACTCTCGAGAGCTGGGCACGTCGTGACCATAAGGTCAAACGGTTTGTGTTGCTTTTATATTTGTGGCCACTCTGGGCTTGGAGTCACTTGCTCCCCTGTATTCAGGTAAAAAGATGAACAATCAGAGGGGTCACAGGCATGGGTCATGTCAGCAGTCACGCTCCTCCTCCGTTCTCCTCCTTGGTGGCTCCAAGAAGGCGTTTTCTGTCGGTGGGATCCCAAGTGTGACTTTGTCTCTGAGCTCTCAGATGCCGTCCATGGTCACTGCAGGTGGGAAAATGGGCCACTGAGGGGGAGCGGGGTCGTCTTGACGATGGTGATGGCAGTGACCAGAGGGTGGGTGACATCAACACAAGTGGCTTATCTGAGTCAAGTTCAACTGACCGGAACAGAGGTGTGCTTGCTGTCGCTGACACAGCGCACCCTGCAGACGGCCACCCTCTGTCATCGATGTCTTTGTTAACTTTTACTGGGCTTTTGCCACATACCAGGCCCCATGAGACAAACATCCTCTGAGTTCCGTGAGGATGTGACCAGGGTAAACAGACACACGAAACAGCTCTGCTTGAACAGTTATGCTTTTAGTGCAATGTTAAAATGGAGACTTTCCAAGGAACGAGCCGTAAGCCTACGTGACGTTAGCACTGTGTGGCGAGTGACCCATTCTGTTGATCCTGGGGTCTCCTTACGAGAAATGAGGGCAGAGGGGATACTTCCCGGGTTTTGGAGGGTGAAGAACATGGCATTCGCCCTGGAGATGCTGGGCTGGGCTGTGAGGCTCAGCCTCCTTACAGCAGCGGCCGGCCGGTGGGGGTCATGCCAGTGGGGGCAGGCCGGCGGGGGTCATGAGTGGAGCAGGGGCTGGAAGTGTGTGGGGTGGGCTGCCAATGGCCTTCCATGTCCCATTCAGGGGACGAGGTCTGTTTCCACTTTAAGATGAGCGTCTCGCTTAGGAAAACAGTAGCTACAGAGAACAGGAGTGAGCGTCCAGAATGACTTCAGGAACACGGGGACTCAGAGCGCTGGCTGACGTCCCCAAGGCAGGCGGCCCAGGCTTGGACTGTCCGCCAGGCTCCGGGCAAAGCCCTCATGCACACGATGGTTTGACTTTCAGGCCGCGGGCAAGATGGATTCGGCATTTCCATAGGATGCCGCCAAGAACCGGAGAAGAGACAGTGCTTCAGAACCTCCACCAGAGAAACTTGACCGAAAGCACCTATTCCCCTCCGCCCTTCTCATTGGTTTAAGTCAGGTCACAGGCTCTGTCCTGAACCAATCGCTTGGGGCAGGGTCACCTCTGAAGCCTGGGAGGGAGCCAGGTTCACCCACAGGGCTGGGTGGGCAGGAAGGAGGCTCCCCCACGCCAGGCCCGGGACGGAAGAGGGTGCAGGACACCCCTGTGTTGGCCCATGGCCGCCTGCTTGCCCTCGGGTAATAATTTAGAGAGCAGACGGCGGTGCTGCTGGAACGAGAGGATCAGCAGACTGTCCGTCGTCACACCCGGGTCCCAGCCCAGGGCCGGAAGAGGGAAAGCGTCCCTCTCAGCTCCGAGGGCCCCCTGAGGTGCTGTCACGTGCCCCGGGGATGGCTGTGCAAACAGGCGGCCCCACGGTTACCAAGTAGGAGGAACCAAGAGGCAACAGCCTGAGAAGTGACTCTTAGAAATGTTGTTCCTTTTATAGTCGAGCGTGTGTCCATCTCCCCCGAGGTGTGAGTTCCACCCCAGCAGTCACGGCCCTCAGCTCAGCCCCGACCTCAGAATGCCACCAGGGCTTGCCCGAGACTGGGAAGGGGCTCGGCACCAGGGCCGTGACAATTTCCTCACCTCCAACAGCCAGGCCAGCACCTGCCGAGGCCTCGCAGTTCTGTCCCTGGAACCTGCCTTCCCAGATCCAGCCCCTTAGTGGTTTAACCCAAGTAAGGTGCCCTGATTAGGCTGCAATGAGGGGGGCAGCGTGCCGCTGTAGTGGAGTGGTTATTACAGACTGATTATGTTCATTAACAGCAGGCACAGAGGACCTCTGAAAACCGAGCAGGAGGCCCCGTTTGGCAGAGCGATTGCCACTTGCGGGGGAGACTCACGGGTCAGGGCGGCCCCCTC